ACTACTCGCCGCAATAAAAAGTATACACAGGCAAGCAGAGCTTGTGTACGTGCGTCCCGGAAACCCCGGCCGCCAAAAAGAAACAAGGCATGTGTGATGGTCAACAGATATAACAGCCCTCACTACGATGTTTTGAGAGAGAGTAAATATTTGCTGGGGTCCACCGTTTCAGAAAGAAAAGGAGATATCTTTTCTGCTGAGCGGGCGGAGCGAGTGTGTGGGCGGGGACGGAGGCGGGCCGGGAGACCTCCAAAGACGCAGTGCGTGGGGTAAGGGATGCCGAGTGAGCGTGGGGTGGGGAACGGAGGTAAAGGCCGTTCAAGCGGACGACCTAAATTGTTACGTTCTCGATCTGTCCAACCGAGAGGATCTTTTAGTTCACTCACAATGGGATCAAAGAAGGCTGACCCACGTTGAAGATTGGTACAAATGCGGGAAGCATATCACATTTTAAAGTGAGAGTTCTCAATTATAAATAATAATATACACGCACTTTGTAGTACTTTCTATTTTTCAGTGATAATGATACAAACAAAATTCAAGTCATTTTCAATATATTCTAACAGAGAATAATTAAAATACTACAATGATTTAGAACAGAATAATCAATTGCTCTTGAAATATGAATATCGGTTTACGTACTTCACAAAGGTTGTTTACATCAAGAGATTTCTGGCGCGGAGTTTCGGGGCTTCTCACGATACCGACAAAACATTATAAAGCTAATATGCAACTGTAATTCATGGACATATCTTCACGGTGAAACACGTCAAATCTGTTTCCGTCAGCCGAGCATCATGCTGTGGAAATGCAAGTGCTACGATGGAAAAACATTTAATAGCGTCGCTTCGTCTCTGACAATGGTCTAACGGCAAAAGCAAAACGCTAGGTACATGAAAACCCGAGCCCTATGGGCATACAACCCAGCTCCTTCGAGCGGGTTACCTATCTTCGTATTGCGATGCAATTTTACTACGCCTGATTTAGCGGACAAACAGATTTAAGGCTCGCCGATATTTTTATTTTCCTAGGCTGTAAACAAAACCTTTCGAAAAAGATTTAGTACCTTATAATCCTCTTTGTTTCCACAATTAATATAAAATATTTGAATTATTTCTTCATTCCTCAGAAATTGTTCTAGCGCAGTATTATCTGGAATAAGTGAATTAAATCTCTTAAGAGTAAACTAAAGGGTTTTTTCTTACGTATTGAAGAAATCAGTGTATTTTTACGCAGCTTAATGAAATATTGGCATAAAAAGATTTTCATTTTATTTCTCAAATTTTGAGATAATTCTTTCTTTCTGAATTTTAAGTGTACGGAGATGACAAATTAATAAAATGCCGCTCCGGATGGCCGAGATCGCTAAGGCAGCAGTGCCGAACGATGGCGGATTCGAGTCCCGCCTCGCGCATTGTATTGTGTTTGTCCTTTCGCTCCGTATCATCATCGTATCGTGTCATCCTCAAAGTTACCATATCGTTCCACACAATAGTAGTCTTCTAGGTCGCTAATGACCTAAAAGTTGATGCGACCTTAAATAACAAACAAAAAAACATTTAAAACAGTAGAAAACTGTTCTGGCACATCTATTCGAACGCGTATGTCCATACCTTTTTGTATTCACAATGTTTTCCAGAAATGTTCATAATAATGCGACATACTTTGTATGTCATGAAATTATGGCAAGATAAATACATTTATGTAACATTATGACATGTCACAGTTATTTGTAAAATAGTAAATATTTTGTGGATAATTTAAAAAGAAAATGCATACGTTTAAAATTGTTGATGTGTGTTCTGATTCAAAGCACTAAAATATTCTATTCGATGATAAAAGTAGTTATTTTTTCGTAAACATAGTACGATTTACTAAAAATATTTCAAGTAGTAGAGTACGATATTTATTCCGTACTTAAAATGTTAGGATAGATTTTTCCAATTCATGATAGCTACATAAAATAAAATGCTTTGCATTTAATATCTATTTATTAAAATTATATTTTGCGGGACATTCAGTAAATGCGAAGACGTATTATGCGAACTGCTTTTGGCTATTATCAAGTGCAAAACCGATATAAAACACGCACAATCCAGCCATATCTGACAAGCTCCTTGACGAAGTCAATTCAATTCCGATCCGCGACCGATCCAAGACGGCGGGCGCGGCGGGCGCCGGGCCGCGAGCGGTGGCGGGTAAACCGGCAAGCGAGGGTGATGTCCGTCGCGTGTCGCTTGCCTCGCACAGTCCGCCCGCTTGCAAGCGCGACTGTCTCCCCCGCCGGCCCAACCCTGCCCTGCCATTTCCCCGCCTTCTCCCGGACAGTGCCACCCGCGTGGCAGCTGCCTTCGAGGCGAACGAACATCGCGCGGGCGGACGGACGCACGCACGCACGGCAGCGATACAGCCCGGCGCGGCATTCCGCGGGACGCGAAACTCGCTGTTGACCCCGATAGTCGGGGCATGGGCGACTGTCAGAATACGTGACGCGTCTGGATTGCGTGTCACTGACGCACGCGGGAAAGGCCTCTGCAGAGTGCGCACGCCTTGTGATATGTGGCTCGGTTACGATATTTATTAGAATGCCCGAAGCCCCGGCTGCGCCATTCCTCCGGGACTTGCTAATACAAAATGACTCTGTCATTCGCATGTCGTCCAACAGGAGCTGGGAGAACCAAAGCGAAAAACATCAGTCGTTTGCGAGGAAAAAGCCAGTACACAGTCGCCTTTATAAAGTATCTATCCAAAATCGGAAGTGCACAAACAAATTGAAATATTCTTATAGTCTCCGTAATGAACAGAAACGTAATATAATTGAATAAAGATAGTGCACTTTCAACGATCATAAAAAAATCGCTATTTCAAAGGGATCTTTATTTACAAATTAAACATAATGAACCTTATTACTAAAACTGATACTCAAAAGAATGCAATAGTTAGGGCTCAGTTTAGTATTTTCAATGGGGATGTACCTTTCGTGAATTGTCGTTTACCCATCCTAGTCAGAAAAAAGGAACTTCTGATAATACAAGCGTATAGAAGATCGGGTAAACACACTTGTGGTTTCAAGCATATCCAAGTGGGTCGCCGGAGAGCGAATGCAAATCTCTGTACGACGTCCATGCCAAAAAACGAGAACGAACATCGCTGGGTCCGATTTAGATCTGTGAAACGGCGTCCAATCAATGAGGCCAATCAAGTGAGCACACACTCATGTGAGTTCTATCGAAAAGAATAAAACAATGACACTTCAATTTAACAAGGCACGCATATCAATCGCACAAAAAAACACTTCTGTTCTCTCAGTGGCTGCGATTTGTGGATGGAAAGCAAAGTGTTTTGGGAGAGGTGCTCCACATTACAGAAGCGACGCAAAAGCGTAAGTGTAACCGACACATCACTAAAAAAGCCAGCGGCATTTGAAAAAAAGGGGAAAAGTGTTAAAACCAACAAGTTCCACTAATTCCCTTTTGTGACTGCTTTAGCGTAACCAGAAGCACGTTACAGAGGGGTGAATCGAACGCACTGGTACCTCATCATAAAACTACCTCATTAGAAACTTCCTCATTTGGACGTTTAACTGTTTGCCAAATATACAAAGCTTTATCCATTTTCAAGTCTTTAATCCCTACATTTATCTTAGATAGCGTATATCCAGCTTGAAACAGAGCTCAAACACAGAATCGCTGCGAAGTTGACTCACGGCCGCAACCTGCCAGTGTTTACTCTATCAATACGTAAAACTGCAATATAAGAGCAGGGCGGCCGGGCGAGGCCGTCCGAGTTGGGTGGAATGGAGTAGAGCGGGGCAGTGTAGGGTGGAGTAGGATGAAGCGGGATGATCTGAAGCGGAGTGAGGTGAAGCGGAGCGGGGTGAGCGACAGCGTGACGGGCTGGTGAGGAAAGGGGCGAGATTGGTAAGGACAGTGGAAAGAGGGGCGGAGCGGGACGGGGCGGGGTGGGTTAGGGAGTTTGGTTGGGGCGGGTAGAGCGAGGCCCGGGGGCCGGCGGAAGCCGGGGCAGGGTGCACAGCGGGGCCGCCGCTTACCTGTCTAAACGCGGCCGTGTTGATACGAGAAGCTACTATTAATTACCGACTGTGGTGGCAGTCCAGGGATGGACGGCGTGGGGTGAGGCCGTCGAGGTGGGATGGACCGCGCAGCTGGACAAGGGGGAGTCGAGACGGTAGATGAAGATGGCGGGAACAGGGAGATTATAGGTACGATGAAGGGCAGGAAGGACATTGCGGCAAACAAGGAATTCGAGATGAGCTGGTGGAGAAGGCGAAGGCATGCCTGAGGGAGAGTAAGAGACATGAAACAGAATAAACCAGAAGAATTCTGAAACTTAAAACTGAAAATTACCCAAAATGGTTTTGATCACTAAGATGGGAATGGAGGTGAACAAAACCAAATATAAAAAAATATCCTATTAGGTGAAAAGGCTAGAAAACAAGAGTGAACTGCAAACTCCAAAATAGCTGATGAAGGGACTGAAACCGTATAAATAACGGGGATGGCGAAGAGCGGGAATATCGGAGGAAGCAACGGGGACTCATGCAAGGCAGAACGCGAAGCAGGTTAGGCACTAGGCAACGGCTTCCTACTGGCACCAGGGCAGACCGCCGCCACGTCGCTTCGACATTGAGACTCAAAAGTTGAGTCGCCGCCGGCGAGCGCCTTTACAACATACACCAACACAGAAACAACGCATTTACAAACTATAGGAACAGCTGGTCTGGGCGAGATTAAATCCGAGCTACACTCGAGTGTCCAGTATACCTTGGTGTGGGTAATGTGTACACACGAATGGTTTATCAC